AAATTAAATTAATGAAGAGAGAGGGAAAGCATCCCATTTGACCTAAGTTCATGACCAGATTTAGTAATGGAAAATTTGATATATATAATTATATGGAAATTAAATTCGAAATAAAAACTGATTAATTGTAACTTTTTTAGTTTGAATAATGTCTAAATAGAAAGCATTCCATTTGACGTCAATTATTTTTTTTTTGGTTGGTTTATGCAACGTAGTATGAGTGAATGTAATCTCCAATCAAATGTAATATCAACAACTGGTTAGGGTTCGAATGTATTTTTATTTTGTAACAGTCAGATTATTATATGGACTATGGAGTAGTAGAGTGTTTATAACTTCTGTATGTAATCCCAGTTATATGTATATTTCCAACATTCATTAGAAATGCGTTTAAACGATATTGTTTCGCACTGAACCGACATCAAAACCGAATCGAACCGAACGTTTAACATTCGGTTGTAGTCTGATACGATTTTTTTTAAAAAAAAAAGTGTATTTTCTTACTAAGCTTTGTTATAGCATCTTATAACAATCTTTGTCTTAATTTTCGAATCGAAAACCGAAACACTCATTTCCTTTATTTTTAATGTTTTCTCTCCAAGATAAACCCGAAAATCGGGTATTCATCGGACCTGCGAGTCAAGAATTCGGTTTTTGGGTTGAGGTTCGATGATTATGAAAACTCGATTTTGAAGTCGAAAAAAATTTGTAACCATATGGTTATGGATTTTAATTCTAAAACAGACCATTGAAATGTGGAAGCAAAATTTAGTGTCATCCATCTCGAGGGATGTGTGAATGAATGGATAACTTGAAAAATCTCTGCTATGTTCTTTATATATATATATATATATATATATATATATAATTGTATAATTATTGTAGGGTTAGTGCTTAGGCACAATGAATGACCAGACTAGTCCACGCAATATAATTAATTATCATAAATGAGTTGTATCCTTTATTTATATATTATTTAGAAAGATTTTTTTTTTTAATAATCCGAAAATTCACCGGATTTTTGATCCGACTACATCTACTAAAGGATATGAAAACTTGTTTAGAACTTTTGTTTGGTTACAAAAATATCTTTATCTTTCATACAAGATGCTATCTCATAAATAAATAAAAAATCATACTAAAATCTTCAAATGAAGTTTGGGAAATCCGAATATACATAAATCCAAATATCATTCTCCTTTGGTCTTCATCCAATAAAAAACCGTTCTTCTTTGGTTCTATCCGACGACACGATAGATATTTCGGTTGTTTTTAATTGGGTTTCTTCGTTTTATATTTTATTTGAATTGGTTTCTATGAATAAAAAAAATATATTCATTTTCTAAAGTTTTGTGTTTCTATATATATATATATATATATATATATTTTGGATTATTTTGTTATCTGAATTGGGTTTTATTCTAATTCTGCTCATTTTATTTTTTTAAATGCTATCAGTAGATTTTTTTAATAAGGTTCAATTTGAATAGTATTGTATATATGATTATATTTTTAAATCATATTACTCGTTTCCAATATAGTATTTCTATTCTAATTCACAAGCACATTAGACAAACCGTTAATTATATAAAAACGTAAATTAAGAAAAGCCTTTTTGAGAGGGGAACACTAAATTAATCAGGAACAAAAGAGAGTAATGATGCTTATAAGCTTCTCATACAGTCTTATGGACCGTTCTAATTGCCAAAAATAAAATAAATAAATAAATCCTACGCTTTAATTATTGTGGTCCCTCTATTTTTCCTGTATTTCCGAACTTTAAAGCAAATGCTTAATAACTTTTAAGAGCCTTAATCAAAGCAAATCATTATAAAAAAAAGGCCATTAAGTAAAGTAATTTATTCAATTAGACTACAGCGGTCATTAAGTAAAGTACTTTATTAAATTTTAACCAACTATAGTACATGTCGTAATACGTAATTACATTTTTTTTAATTATATATTGTCGGAAATTTCTGAATCTTATTATCTAATACGTCTTCTTCTAACTAATCTTAGTGATATCAGAACGCATAATCACAAAAAAAATCAGTCTTAATGTGGATATAATCCAATTAATTAATCTTAATGACATTTGAATATTTTCATCGGGGAAATTTGTTTGATAATGATGAAATACCACTTTATAATTGTATGTCTAAATGGAGAATTGCCCCCCAAACCCCAATTTGCGTGTCTTGTTCTTATCCCTTTATCATTTTAAGGAGATTAATAATCAAATACAACTTCGTATATTATGACAAAACAAAAATCTTACATGATCATTATATAATCGTGTTTGTATCCAGTAAACGCATATATAATCAATTATGACAAAAAAAAAAAAAATCTTACATGGTCATTAGATAATCGTATATTCCATTAGTCTTGAATATTTTTGGTTCGATCTATTTAAAATCAAATTGAACAACATCTCATTTTATCTAAATTAATATAATTTCAAAATCAATTTGATATAATATTTAAATTTAAAATAATAAAAAATAAACAGAATTAAATTTTTGATAAAAAATCACTAAAAAATAGTATAAAATTTAAATAAACACATATTTTTTTAAAACTAAAAATATCAGTAAAATAATTAAATGGGAACTGAAAATTTATCAAACTTGAAATTGGAAATATAGACCTAATAATAACATCACGTTAAAAAAAATTCTAAATATTTTTTTAATAACCCATATCTTAAGACTCCGTCTAATTTCGGGGTTAGACTTAGGAGTAATCCATGTGATTTGAATTATACGTTTTCTCCCCAAATTTGAGGTCGAATTCGGGACGAGACATATGCTTTGTGTCTGTTTTACTGATTAAACTAATCAAATTTGGGTAAATACTAAGGTCCAAACTAATATATATTGAAATCGAGAACAATCCATATAATTTGGATTATACGTTTTTTTTTTCAAATTTAAGATTCGAATTTGGGTGAGACATAAGTTAAAATATCACGATTCACGGGTTAAACTAATCAAGTTTGGTAAATTCTAAGTAGATACTAAGTAATATGTTTTATATTCTAAATACAGAATTAATATGCTACTAAAAAAAAGGGTAAAAGAAGATACATTTAGAACGTATGCTGGCTTGGTTAAGTAGTGATCTACATGTCAACCGTCTCAATCTATATTATTTTCATATGTCTCCTTTACTACATGAGACCCACAAACATTTGTGTGGGTCCCCCCTATATTCAGTTCTTCAATCAACACAGAAACCCAGAACTGGAAATACAGAAATCCCTCCAAAAAAAAAAAAGAACAGAAGAAGAAGAAGAACAAGAAGTAGTCTTGTCCCATTCCCTTCTTCAGTTTTGTCTCCTAGGGTTCTTCAATTTGATCCCCAAGGTACTCTTTTTTTTCCCTTTTTGTATCTTCTCTGGTATTCGTACACGTAGAGGGAAGCCCATACGATGATTGAAAGATGCGAAATAATCGTGGACATTAAAAGCTTTTGAATTTTTGGATTTTTCTTCTTGGATTTTGATGGGGTTTTGTCGGATTTGGATTTTGAAGTCGTTTCAAGTTCATCAGCACTGTCCAGTATACGGATGTTGGGTATTGCGGTGTCCTTTTCATGACCACTGAGAAAAACAAATGCGTCCTTGTGCTTACTTTTGATCTTAGTTGCGGCTGATGAATAATACGTACATGTATTTCCTGTATACGTATAAATACATGTAGATTGTACACATGGATCAAGTGTTTGTCTCAATTTCAGTTGTCTGAGATTTTCATTGCCTTGATGAAATTCTAATTGGCTATGACTTATAATTCAAATCTTTCCTCCGTAAACCGTTTGATTGGCAAAATCTTACCCTATGTTCACGTGGATCCGAATTTTCAGACATATCTTAGTTTCATGTTCTTGGATTGTTGGATGCATTCGTCTTGTTCTTGTTATGTTTTCATATATATGTATAAACATTCTTCAATTAGTAGACCGAGTTTTCCGTGTTTAGACCGTCATTTCCGCTCCCACGAGTTCCCAAAATTCCGAGCTTTTCAAACCTCGGGCGACCATTTCGGGCATCGGTAGTTCGAGTCTTGGAGCGAGGATGAAGAAATCAATCTACTCACTCTACTCGTTTGCTCGACGTTTGCAGGTGTTCTTGAATCGGGATTTCGCCTTTTTCAGTTCTTGAACGGTGTTCAAGAAACTACGATGCAGTGAGTGGCTAATGGTATGGGTTCATTTGCCGGGAAGTGCGAAATCGTCGAAGAGAAAGAAGATCATCGAGTCCCGCCCGGAGTAAACTCCGGAAGAACGACGGTTCTTCCGCATTCTGGATTAAGCGTAGTCGACGACAAGGATCTGGAGAGTCCGGTGTTGAAGTTAGGGTACAAGGGTTCGTTAGAAGATGATATCAACCAGCTTTTCGAGTCGATAAGCATAAGAACATCAGCCATGCTTCCTTCTTACCAAGTTGGCACGAGCAGAAACACGAGCCCTTTGCAGAGGAATGCGTTGAAAAAACCCGTAAATCCCGGGCCATCTCGACCACCAAACCCGGGAACGTCCGAACCGGCAACTCTGAAACAGGCTTTAAGAGATCTCTGCGTCTCCAAGGCCTCGGAAACAGCCGCTATGAGACGGGTTCCCAAGAACCCTAGCTCCCCAACCGGCTCGGAAGCTGGAAGGATGAAGAATATATATGGTTCTGTTTTGATCGAGTCTGGAAGCAGACCCGGGATTCCAGAAGAGGAAGGGAAGGCCGTTCTTGTCGAAATACTCGATGACGATAGAACCAGTTCTTCTGAGAGTATATCTCAACAGCTTCATCTTCTCAAGATCAAGTCATCGATCCAAAATTCCCCGAACCGATTCAACGATGGGAAATCGACGTTACCACAAAACAGGTTCAGGAATCAAGAACAGAAAACGGAGATTAAAAGAAAGGACAACGACTTGCACGCTTCTTCCGAGTGTTGTCCCGAAGAAGATGAGTTTGGTCCAGACAAGAACTTTACTTCATCGACAACATCAGAGACCAAGACAGTGGTCGGGTTAAAATCTGTGAGGAGAGTGAGACTGTTGTACGCCAATACACCGACTTCCACCATTGTTAACGGCAGAAGAGTTCCGAAGCTGACAAGAACGGTTCCTCGTGCTCCGAAACCGGTTCTGAGGAACAAGGCCTCGGTGAAAAAGAAGATAAAGCAAGAGGTTTCCCCGGAAAACGTGTACGATGAAGTTGATGGCTTCTACAATCCAATCACAAAGGAACTCCTCTGCCATAGATGCCATTTCGCTTTAAAGAACGCTGCTAAAGAAGAGGCCTGCACGGATTCTGTCGTTTACAGTCGCGGTGATGAAGTTATGGCAGATGATGTAGACCCGAGTGCGAAAATTCCGAGCTTAGATGAAACGGATAAAGGATTTTCCAGCTCGTGTTATGAGAATTCTCTGGAGATCAGTGCAAGTTCAGAACTGAATCTGGATAATGTAAGAGGCTCACTGGATATGAACTCATATTTCGTGGATTCCACCATGGAAACCGGTGAGGTTTCTTCAGCGCCGGTGTTTGTAAACAACGATGATGATGAGGATGATGCGGAAGTTCTTCCTCGAGGACTGAAATATGGCGAGAAGAATAGCAACAAAGACGGAGAGGACGTTTCTCTTTCACTTTCTTGCAGTGGGAAAGAAGCTGAGCAGAAGGATACTCTGTTTTCGTCTGATCAGAGTGTGGAGATCGGTTCTTTCAGCGAGAAATCGGTTGTGACAAACCCGGAAAGTCCTCCCGAGAAACGCAGCTTAGATGAAACCGCCATCGAAGAGGGCAACGAGAAACCAGCAATGACAAGCAAAGGCGAGTTTTCTCAGGGCTCGAAGGAAAGCATCGGTTACAATAGCTCGAGTACAAGCATCAGCGAGGAAGAAGAAAACGATATAACCAGGGCTAGTTTCGGAAACCGGCCTCACATGTCGAAAGATGTGAGGTGGGAAGCGATCCAGCATGTAAGAACGCAACACGGGTCGATAGGGTTAAGGCATTTCAGCCTTCTGAAAAAGCTCGGTTGTGGAGATATCGGGACGGTTTATCTCGCTGAACTTACTGGAACAAACTGCTTGTTCGCGATAAAGGTGATGGACAACGAGTTCCTCGAGAGAAGGAGCAAGATGTCGAGGGCTCAGACCGAGAGACAGATTCTCAAAATGCTCGATCACCCGTTCCTTCCTACGCTCTACTCTCACTTCACGTCGGATAACTTATCCTGTCTGGTCATGGAATGTTGTCCCGGCGGCGATCTTCATGTCCTAAGGCAGAAGCAGCCGGGCAGGTGTTTTCCCGAGCCAGCAGCCAGGTTGTCTTTCTTTCTCTCTCTCCTCTGTCCTTGATCCTGTTTTCTGCAGGAAAAGCTCAAAAACTTTAGGGTTCTTCCTTAACATCTTTCTCTGCAATCTGTTGAACTGATATACAGATTCTATGTGGCCGAGGTCCTTCTGGCATTGGAGTACTTGCACATGCTCGGAGTTATATACCGAGATCTGAAACCCGAGAACATTTTAGTACGAGAAGACGGTCACATTATGGTGACAGACTTTGATCTGTCACTGAGATGCCAAGTGAATCCAACTCTGCTGAAATCGACATCCCCACTTCACGGAAACACGATGAGAATCTCGGGAAGTGGAACCGAAACGAGCTGTATCGAGCCACTGTGCATCCAACCGTCCATCCGGGTCCCGTGTTTCCGTCCAAGACTCTCTACCAGAACCAAGAAAGGGAAGCAAAGGACGAGAAAACTGAAGAAACACGACCTGATAGCTCGTTTCAGATCACTGCCACAGCTCGTGGCCGAACCAACGGACGCGAGATCCAATTCATTCGTCGGAACACATGAGTATCTGGCGCCGGAGATCATCAAAGGGGAAGGACACGGGGCAGCGGTTGATTGGTGGACATTCGGGATCTTTCTGTACGAGATTTTGTACGGAAGGACGCCCTTCAAAGGGTCGACGAACGAGGAGACACTGGCGAATGTGGTGCTGCAGAACCTGAAGTTTCCCGAGAATCCGAGTGTGAGTTTTCAGGCGAAGGATCTGATCAGAGGGTTGCTCGTGAAAGAACCCGAGAACCGGCTCGGGACTGAGAAAGGAGCTGCAGAGATAAAACGCCATCCCTTCTTCGAAGGATTGAATTGGGCTCTCATCCGCTGCGCCATTCCGCCTGAGCTTCCGGACTTTTATGAATATGGATCTCTGAACCTTGAAGGGAAGGGTAATTACTTGGACTGCAAGGCTGTTGGTGAACACCTTGAGTTTGAGCTGTTTTAAATTAGGGTTATATTATATATATATTCTCTTGAGATGTTCTTTCTTTCTTGAGTCGCAAGTTATCGGTCACCTTCGTTTTTCGTTTTTTGTTAAACTGAAGTCATTTTTTCCCTTTCGTGCATTATTATTATTATTATTATTATTATTATTATTATTATTATTATTATTATTATTATTATTATCGTTGCGTATGTAAAG